TTCAAATGTGCAGATACCCTTAGCATTCGTCCTGTCAATTGAACGTTGAAAGTTACGAATTTAGAAACGGCTCCAAAAACAACACTATGCAGCATTTAGGAGAACGCTACCCTAAGCAAATATAATTTTAATTTTGCAGTCCCGGCTAGTGAAGGAATTTCACAGCATGTTGAAGCAAAAAAACTCATTAAAGTAAATAGGTACACTGAGGAGAAAAAATATTAAAATCAAATTGAAACGTAATTGATCCTACTATAAACGTCAACGAAAGTACTTTTCAAATATTCAATTCAAATACGCTCATATTAAAATAACTGCGTTCGTTCTAAAAAAGCATCCGTGAAGTGAATAATAAAGACAAAAACGAAAAAAAAAACATATTTAATTTGCATGTTGCCTGCAGTGGAATTCGCATGAATGAGGCTGAGCGGAGCTTTTCGCATGGAGTCGGCTTCAGAGTTACCACAAAAGTTACCCTAAATGAAAAGCGGCTAAAAGTCACTTCAAAAGATTAGGGGAAAATTCATTTGTATTTAAATAGTTAACTTTTTGATCCACATCGGCTCGGTTTGGCTCCGCTACGGGGCTGGAACCAGAAGTACTCGACCTAATAAAAGAAACACACAAATTTTGGGGAAAAATATATTTATTTTTCAACATAATCTACTTTCAGCTCTATACACTTTTCCCAGCGATGGTCAATAAATTCGATACCCTTTTTATAATAAAAACTATCTTGCTCCTTAAAATAGCCATTAACTGCCGAAATCATTTCTTCATCGTTAGAAAATCTTTGACCACGGAGCCATTTGTTGAAGTTGGGGAACAGAAAATAGTGCGAAGGGGCTAAATCTGGCGAATAAAGTGCATGAGGTAGCAATGCAAGCATTAATGGTTTTTTGTCGAGTGTGAGCAAACGCGGCACCCATCTTGCACACAGCTTTCTCAGACCCAAAGTATAATCTATTTCAGCTTTTATATTGGATGGGCTGAGGCCTTCCAAATAAAAGTATTGTATCACATAAAGATTACCAATTTTCTCTGTTTTCACAAATTCACCAAGCATATACTAAACAACGTGGCGTCTTCAAACATGATACATATGCTTAATAGATTGTGTACGTTTTACCACAGTGATATTTTTCAAACCACTACCGCCATCTCTAGGTTAGGCCGGGTACTTTTGGGACCACCCCCGTATGTATGTACATAGCATCGCCTGGATAAACGATTGTCTTAACACGTTCGCTACCACACATGTCACATACATGTGTCAGCTGGATTTTCACGTAGGACCGCCGACACAAATGTGTGATAGCGGGTTGTTGGATACAGTATGGTCTATAGGAAGGTCTGGCACACGTTTGTGACAAGTGGTCTCGGGAATACAGCTACCTGTGAAGTATGAGGTTATGTTTATTTACAGTGCACGTGTGAAATTCTTTACCGTCTTTAAGAGAAAAAATATTAGCTTCATAGTGAAAAAAATACTAAGAGGACGGTAAGTACATATATTTAGGCTTGTTTGAACATAATAAATGTGAACCAAATGGCCAAGTTTTGAGCCATGTTTCAGAGCATTAAACGCCCAAAATAAGCCATAATGCTATTGTGTTTTCACCTAGATGTAATTTTATGCAAGCTTTGTGTTTCTGAATAAAACTGAGTTTGATAAAGTCCTGAAGTTTAGCCTATCACATAAATGTGACCCTTGTCCATACCGAAAAATTTCTCTATAGACTACCGTCATAAATATGTGTCAGGCGTAAAGCAATTATTTTTATTATGAATTTGAGTTTCTGAGATATCTAATGACAACCACTAGAAAAAAATCAATAAAATTCTAACTGCTCTGTAATGACGCACTGCTTAAATACGCTTGGTAGCGAACGTGTTAAGCGCGATTTTGGCGGTTTTTAGTTATAGATGCAGTATACATACTTTAAAATAAGAACTTTTAATTGGTGGATGCCTCCTTTAGTTTCCGAGATACGGACTAAAATTTGATGGATATTTATGTACAAATTGATTTAATAATACAGTCTTACTAAACAAATCAAGATCTTTGAAATAGTGTTATCCATTTTTGAATATGTCTTTTTAGTTTCCGAGATATTGAGTAAAAAGCATTGTTAATTTAGTACACATTTTTATCACATTTTGTCGTATAGTTATCATATGATACAAACTTGCTGCAAATTGTTGACAAATAACGTATACGACAAGGTTTACTAAAGAAAATCCTTCATACACTCAAAAAAAAATAAAAATTAATAATAAACAAAAATAAAATAATTTACAAATTTCGTAAACTATGTGATAATATTCTGCGAGATTTTGGAGAAAATCGAGCGTTCTCGTTTCTGAGAAATTGTATTTCAAACTTCAATCGCGATTTCCCACAACATGCCGAAAGTAATATACGAAAATCTTTTAGCCAGTCGTTTTAAAATCTGTGTGTTATAGAATTTCAAAGCTAAATCCCTACGTTGGCTCTAGGACGTTCTTATAAAGTCTATTAATTTAAAATTTATAATTTTTGTCTAAAAGTCATTTGAAATCGTTTTTGTTTTTTTAATTCGTAGGTCCGAACTAAATACACTCTTCGTATATATCTACATCCTTTAATAAATTTTATAATGCTCTTCCGAGTTTCTGAACATCTAGACTCTGACATGTCTGAAACTACTGTAACAAACGTACATTGTATTATGGTGAATGACTGAAAGCTGCATTTCCTAACAAATATACATAGGTTCAACTGTGAGCTGAGAAATGGCTAACAAGCTTTCTTATTTCCATAGGAAAAAAAAACTCTATATAAACCTTAACTGTGACCGTTCCATAGCTATAAAATGTAAAGAAATCTTCAAAAAGCTTCTTCCTCGGGGCAGCTTATGGTTGTGAGTGCTTTAAAAACTCGACTTGGGTACCCGTGAAGTGGCCACTCAATCCTCATTTAAAAATTTCCAGCTCTCACATTTTTCCCACTCTGCATTTTCTCCTTTTACTGCAGAGGAAATGCTGTCTTCGTATTGTTAAAATATGGAAAGATTTTCTAAACCACAGCGGTTGGAAGCTAGTCGCTTTTATATACACATACGTATGTACATATGTCTTCTAAGGCAAACGTTCAGCATTAAATATTATTAAAACATAATATTTATAAAGTTTTTTTTTAATTACATGACATCATTTTTCCGCTGACTAATTTCTAACCACTACTTTGACTTTTGTGAATGTTAAAATATTGTTTAAGTTTTACTATATATTGTATTGGCGTAAAGCGAGGCAAAACATATGACTTTCTTAAGCTTTTTTGAATTGTTAAGAAATTAAATTATTTATTTGATTAATTTTCTTAAATTTTTTACGACTATATTGAATTTTTTTCATTGAGAAAATGTAAAAATTTTTGTATTTTAGCTTGTTTAGTCGATGAAATGCAAAGCTTGGTGCATGAAAGATTAAGTAAAAATATTTGTTATTAAAAAAACATTGTTTCTATAATAAAATGTTACATTTATAATTTACAAAACTAACAATATTGGAAGTACGTAATTTATTATGAGCTTTGAGCACAAAATGTCATGCAATCTTTTTTACACATAGATATGCACATTTGCACATATGAAGGTATGCTTGAATCATTTTGTTTATTTTAAAATAAACTTAAATCCGCAATCATTAATAAATTCATACATTAAATATAAAGCATATTTTGCATTTTAATAGCTAATATGCATAAAACAAAATATTTAATTGCACTTTAAAGCGATATTACTAAAAATTCACATGTGGCTGATATACAAATGTATGTTTATAAATTACAAACATTAAAGTATCTTTTTTTTTTTTAATTTAAAAATCTATTATTGAGCAATGGTAAAATCATAGATGAGCACTTAGGATTTTTTATAAAAACTATACGCATTCATAGCAGTAGATTACACACTTGAACGAAATTTTCAAAATATTTTTTTCTTCCACAACTGCTTGCAAACATATATTGGAATGTTCCTTTATTGCATTTTATTTTGTATTTATAAATTAATTCATGTATGTACAGATGTATGGGTTTATGTACATACATACCTTAAAAATAAATTGGACTCAATGCGCTACCAAATGGTTGGATTTTGAAACTGGTACGGACTGCAAGGCTGGACTTTCATCCATACAAATATTTGATTTTTTCCGTACTTTAAGTAATGGTACTGTGTCGTAAGTATGTGTACATGTGTATGTACATATCATAAATGTTTTTTTTTTTTGGCTAAATTCGTTTATTTGTAGGTATGTATGTATATAGGGGGTACATATCGAGCCCTAACTGCCACAAAGATGTCAGTGACATTTTTTTCAAAATTTTCTTTTTGATGCAGAAGGGTTCCTCGAGCATCTAAATGCATTTTTTGCATCAAAATTAAATTTTTTAAAAAAGGTCGCTTATATCTTTTTGGCGGATAGGGCTCGATAAATACTCCGACCAACGCTGTACATTGATCCACAAACAAGACCTTCATAAATACATATCTTCGTTTAAAGTACAAAACCGCGTATCGTCATTCTGCAAAACCGCGTAACTGACATTTGCTGCCTAAAGTTGGATTTGCTCACACAAGCTCTTGGCTCAATCCTTATCCATTCATCATGAAATATACTAGCCAGAAATGCTTTACAAAAAAAGAGAACCATTTTGAAATATGAGTGTTTTTACTCTCTAGGGAATAATTTATGCAACCTCACATACGCGGCTTTGCATTTTGTTGATACGCGGTTTTGTACTTTAAACGACGATTTGTACTCGTATTTATGATATATGTAATTGTTTTAACAGCCTATCCAGCCCAATCATTTTATATACATACTATGTATGTATATTTTGGATAAACAAATTTTGCATGCATTTAAATATTAAAAAAAAAAAATAGTAAGCATATGTAATTGCTACATACATATACATACGTTCATATATTCATATATGTACATGCGTATATATTGCATAAAATGTTTCTATCTGTGTAAATATTTCATAAAATATTTATGTTTTAAACTACTAACATTATTAATTATATATAAGTAGCTCAAAATCATCTCATTCACGCATTTAGCATTCATTTTCTTTGCGTCGCACTGCTCTTACACACCGGCTCCCGCGTTGGCTGCACTACACATTCTCGCACAATAAATTCATTTCGCTGCTATTTGGTGGAGAAGGAGTCAATATTTTCTATTTGCATCCCCCTTTGCCGTCGAACCGATCAAACATTCTTTTTGCCGTTCTGTTTGTTCAGCATCGTTTGCAATTTGTGCAATTGACTTAGTAAATTTGCATTCGTATGCTCCAATGCGTCACAACGTTTGCGTTGCTCATTATTCTCATTGACGAGTATTTCGACGCGACGCTCTAGTTGATCCATGTACTCCTTCTTTTTGCGCCGACTCTCTTGTGCGGAAATCTGAAGGCGAAAGAATTTTATCATTGAATTAGTTGTGAATTTGTATGTATATGGAAAGCAAATATATTTTCCAATCTGCGTTTGTAATGACTATGTTTAGCTCAGAAGAAAATAAGACGGCTGTGACTAACCTTACGTCTCCAACATCTATAGATTCTGTTAAAAGAGCTGTGTTAAGACAGAAATGTCAGGTGGAGACCGCAAGTTTCCACTGTTAAACCATATCTGCCTTTGCGAATTTCTTACCATCGCTTACTTAACATCAGCCGTTTTGAAAGTGATATGCTAAGACAGCAAGTTGCCCACATGCGAGAACGGGACAAAGTTACAACAGAAATTTAACAGATGTCCAGACACATCTAGCAGAAGGTAAGCTTTGAATGCTCGAAAATATTTAAGTGATGTTATTGCTTCTATGAACTGTATGAAATATGAAATAGTATGCTACACAGTTCGACAAAGTTTTGAGCCTGGATTCCTCAAATAAACACATTAGAAAGACTTTCTCTGATTCTGAATCCGTTTATTCAATTCATCCAGTCCTGCTCGCTTATGAAAAAACTTTACTTCAGAAAAAATAAAAGTCGATAAATTTAAAAATTAACAGAAAAAGAAACAACAAAGATGCAAGAATAGCAACATTAGAAACACGCCTTTCCACCTTTCAGTCTTCAGGAAGTCGAGAAAGAAAGTATGTAGTTATGTACATATCGTCGTTTAAAGTACAAAACCGCGTAGCTGACTCCACATACGCGGTTTTGCACTTTAAACTTTAGTTTGATGGAGAATCTTTCCTGTGGAATGTATCAAACAATCGAGTTTTGAGGTTTTCAGCTGGGATATATCGCACATCTAGATCTAAAGTGCGATCAACTCAAAACAAATATTGGGCGATTTTTTTCCTTAAATCAATTCATATAACTTACGTCCAATTAATTGAGATATTATTTTCTTTATGATTTATATACATTAACTAAAAAACTACTCTTATACCGGTTTTTGTATTAATTGCGTTAAATCTGTACGATCCACAAGCAGTTAAATTTCCCTCTCTAAATGTTGAGTTAGCTCACGTTAGATCTAGGTGTGCGATATGTGCCCGAATTCTAAACAATGATCCCTGCAGGAAATGATTGATTAGGAATCCCGTTGATTTTTAATAATTTTTTTGGTGAATGCTTTTGCGGCTTTTTTTTTTATATAAGAAGTGCAATCTACGAAAAGTGGCGTTGATTGTTTGAAATTTTATTGCGTGCGGTGTTCCACATTTTATTTCATATTATTTAGTAGTATGAAAGTCATGCTTACATATATAAAAAAGTGCAAAAATTAGTCAGCAAAAAAAAAGAATACATATATATTAAAATTCAATGCAATCTTTAGCCACTTGAATCTTACATTCATGACTTTAAAACTGTATGGGCTATAAACCGGCATACCAAAAAATTTTGTAAACATTTAGATTAAAAAGTTCGAAATTTTGATAAAAACTTGTTGAAATTTCCAAACATTGAATCTTTGATTTACATGGTTTGAGCTAAAGTTGGACAATATTTTTATAGAAAAATAACAAAAAAAAGTTACCTTGAAAAACATTGTGAATATTTGAAAAAATCGACGCGTGAGCCACTATATGTGCATTAGACTGTGTCAAATAAATCGAACGTTTTGTTTCTTTCAGCCCTTTATGAAAATTTCGCACATGTGCCAACATTACAGCTCTCATCTCCATTTTTCCTTTAGTGCAGAATGATATATTGGAATGTACTCGTATGTAAGAAAACAAATTTTCTGAATAGAATATTATATAGTTTTTGTGCCGTACAGCTGTTGGGCCGGTCATCGCGGCCTGCATGTTTCCTCTTTCAAGGGCTCCGAGAGATTCAACTTTAATAGGCATTTGGTAAATTGTGCAATTGGTGAATAACACTGGTTTACAGCAAAAATGTTCAATGGATGCCACCAAAATATCTTGCAGAGAACTTATTTAATTTGCAAAAGCCGGAAAAAACCTTTTTGCTTGTAAATAAATTCAAAAATTTGCATGACTTACTTTCACTTGATTTGTTTGTAACAGAACAGGCTTTAGCACAACTGCAAGAATTTTACACAGAACCTATTAGTTTTTTAACTTTTCTCCAGTTAAATTTGATTTTTTGTTTTTCATAAAAAAAAAGTTGGAATGATTAAATAATTTGTAAGAAACTATCAGTCCTATCAGAAAGTGATGTATAGGCGGTTTATGGTTTTGTTAGCTTTCATTTGTCATTTTCAGTTTTGTTTTAAGCTGAATAACGGTAAATGGAAAATATCTCGAAAACGTATCCATACAATAAAAAATTAACTCGATTTTTGGAATCAGCGGGCGATTCTACATACAAGTTCGATAGTGGCGTCTGGGGAACAAAAACCAAATTAAAATTTGTGATCCAGTGTAATGCGTGGTCAGGGCGTATGAGTAATTTTTTAGACAACAAATGTTCCAATAGATTTTGAAAACGTACTATGACTTTAAATTAAATTAAAGGTCGTTTCAGTCGGAAAAAATCCACTGTCACGGTCTATTCTGCTCGTTAGCAGCAAATTTTATTGCCAGAACTTCTACCACTGGTAATAACCGCGATTCAAGGCAGCTACTAAGCAATACATTTTTGTTAGAATAGGTGGAATTACATATTTTATTTCATTAAGTTTCCCGCAGGATGTATATAGATTGTTACCAAGGCACTTAGAATTGCGGTTACAAGAGTGATGTTATTTTTTGGTAATAAAATTTTCCGGTGTAAAAATGTTCGGTAACAACCAGAATTGGCCTGCTAGAGTATGCATAACTGAGCCATAAGACTTCGATCAAAAGCGGTTAAAGTAAATATGTGTGGAATGCGATTGGAAAGATTTATAGAAAAATACCTTAACCTATTTTTATTTCTCGTCGAATTTAAAATCGAAACGAGCTTTCGTATATATGTGCTCTGTTTAGATCCGCTCGGTTTCACTAAAACCTGTTTATTTTTGTAGTGATGACCTACTTGCTGTGTATAACCGGTTTCGTAAATTTTATGTGAACAAAAATGATAAGGATACATCCTTAAGCATATATGTACATCCTTATTTAGGCATTTTCGGATTATATATTAAAGGAATTTTTCAATAGGATAAATGTGCCCGGAGATCTCGATTTTCGTACAGAGGAGCAACCGTTATCATACAACTCTCTTAATATCCTAAATTTCTTATATTCAGTCTAATATGTACATATTTATTGCCTGCCAGGGACTGACAGTCTTTGTTACTATTTCCCAGCATTTTATTTTGTCTCCTAGAATACGTACTCCTAAGGTACATGGTGAAAGCGAAGAAAAGTGCTGGTGTATCCAAATAGCGATATATATTAAACCGTTAGCACTTAAATGGGCAATTACATTTGGTGCAAATTTCTTCGTGGACTCTTTCACATTTTTTATAGAAAGCAAGATTGATTTTAAGAGACACTGCCATTTTGACAATGAAAACAACTAGCGGAAATAATCATAGTCGGTTGGAAAGCGTTTTTGGTATTAAATAAAAGCAATGTTTCGTTATTTGGGGCGAATGAACAAAAAAAGGGTATAATCCCTATCCCTTAGGGAGCTTACCTTATTTTTGATTTTTCTTCGGATTTTCTTGAGTGACTTTTCCTCAGCCTTGGTAAGTGGTAGCTTTTGCGGGATTGGATATCCTTCTGCTTGCAATGTGCGTTTCTCTTCTTCGGTTAGAATCAGCACGCCTGTGGAGCCTTTCTGTTCATTCCATAAAACAAAAACGGAATTGCTATATTTAGTATTGATTTCAAGATATAAATAATCAATTTTTTTTGCTCTACCGGCTGAGTGCTAATAAGCGGGGTGTGTATAGGCTGACGTGTGGAACCAGTAGTCCCACCTGCCGCATGTCGGCCGGCGACGTGCAGGGATGATGTCGATGACGATGCAGATGATGGCGATGAAGAGCTGCTGCTACTGGCACTACGGGGCACGTTCGCGGAATGTAGAGCAACGGGCGAAATTACTGCAGGGTTAGCCACAGATATAGAAACTGAAGTGTTGGGCGAAAGTGGCGATAGTATATGTTCCGGTGTTAAATTACCTTCAGAATCACCATCACTTGATGAGCAGGAGGGTGGCGTCAGCGGCAGACCATATTGACCGTTATGCTTCGCGGGAACATTAACACTACTAAAGCCGTTCTCGGACTTTATATTAAATTTAGGCATTAAAATATTTTGACCTTTGGTGGCGGCGCTGGCGTTCAAGGCGAGCTGTTGCGCTTTGAGTAGGCTCTGTGAGGCGGGAGTTAGCTGCAGGCAACCGTTCTAGGGTTAATGCGGAGTTTGGAAAATTTATTAATATTAAGCGTATTTAATCGAAGAACATTGATTGAGTACTGACCTTATGTTCAAAGACGAGATCGGAGTTAGTGCGCGCGGCCAAATGAGAGATTTTCGCCATTGCCATACATTCTGGCGAGTCTGGGCTGGGCGGGCAACTGGAATCTGGCGACATGGGCTCATCCTTTATGGCTGACTCATCGATCTCAATGTCTGAACAGATGTCGGGCGAGGAGCTGCCTTCGCGTACAGATGACGGCGTATGACAACTGCTCTGTTCAAAAACTGTGCTCACCGACGTTTGAGGTAGGTACTGTTGGAGGTGTGCCGGTGTGGCGACGGCGGGTTTACCCAGTGTAATGGTAGTTGTGTTGCTGCCGCCGAAAGTGGAGTTGCTGCTGTTGCTGGATGTGCCACTCGACGTTTCGGCGGTACGCAGGTTGAATGTCATCGGTGCGGTGGTATTGATTTTACTAAGGCTGGCATAGATGCCAGCGTTTGTGTAGCGTATGGGTAGCGCTGCAGCAGTTTGGCGGGTATTTGTGCTCGCAGTAAGGTTGTTGCTACCGGTTGCTGTGCTGGTGGCGACGTTAAACGTGCCAAATGATGCAGGTGTTGAGGCGGAGGCGGCGACTGTGGCAGTTGTGAGCAATGTATTTGCTCCCTTACTATTGCTTGTAGCGTGGTTGCTGGTTTCCACGGTGGACAATTCCATCGGTGTGACATCGCACTCCACAGATATGGCTAGACATTTGGGATCGACGCCGCTGGAAATGTCTACGTCATGCCGTAATCGTGCTGTGTTGCTGGTTGCGGTTTTTAGCGAAATTGCAGGATAGCATTCGTCTTCCATGTCTGCGTGAAGATGAAAAAGGAAAGTAAAAGAAGGAGGTGAGTTATCATTGAATCATAGCGGTTATGATGACTCAGTTTAATTACAAAGAGTATTTACTTTTGCCATAAAGGCAATGGACTTCGGCAGCTTGCTTATATTTTTTCTACAAAATACATAAAGTAATATTCAATATATACGAGGTCAAGCATTGAACTGCCTGTGGAAATTTTTGGACAGAAAATCATATCTGTATACTTTTGACAAAATAATTTCAGCATTTAAGAAGTAAAGGAACTCGTTAAATTGACTATTGACACTGGGTGATTGACTTATAATTTTTTGTTGCTAATTAAAAAAAATGCCTCTCCATAGGCGGAATAAGAAAAAATTGGAATATGCAATTTATAGCTCTATTCGTTGAGTAAGAATCATTTTCAAACCCATAAAGTACGTACATACATATGTACATATATTAAAAAAGTATAACAACAGGGATATGAGTAAAAGTGCCTATTTACTGAGAAGAAAATTCACCAATTTGAATTGCAATTTTAAAAAGTGTCGGTGGGAATTTCAAATTTTACATGTAAATTGTATGAATAAAATTTTATTTTCATTAAAAATGCTATAACAATTGAACCGGTAGAGACAAAAAGGCATATTCTTGTAGGGCATTAATTTCTCTAAAAAATATGTATATTCCTACGGGTTATGAAAGTCGAAAAAAGCAGAAATATGCAGGGGATTATTATTACAAATATTCATGCTAAATGAAAAAAAAACTTACACTAAAATGATAGAGAATGTGTAGAAAATGTTGAC